ATTATGAAGGTGCACTAAATGTTCTATGTATGTATAATGAATGCATTATGAAGGTGCACTGAATGTTCTATGAATGCATTATGAAGGTGCACTGAATGTTCTATGAATGCATAATGAATGCATTGTGAAGATGCAGTTAATGTAAAACGTAACCTATTACCAGTGTGATTTCAGAATACAGCAGTATCCCCTCAAATTTTGACTGCTATGTAGGCCTACATAGTAAATTTTACAAAAACCTGAAATTAGGTGAATTTAATAAATTTAATAATTTAGGGGGGCACAAATAATGCAATATTAAGCTACTACTTAAGTATTAATTTACTGCGAACTAAGTCCAAGTTACATATACCGATGTCATGTTCGCAAGTTTAACCTCAAGCAGTTAGTATGTTTACTATTTCTGTTAATTCTGAAACCTTTGTGAACTATACAGATCGAAGGAATTACTGAGGAAGTACTGAGGAAGTACTGAGGAAGTACTGAAGGAAGAAGTCATGAATAACACAAGTGAAATACTGATCTTTTTTTTTCATCTAATGAATCATAACGCATCAATTTACCTCAAGCAGGGAGTATATTTGTTGATGATTTGTATTTCGGCAGTAACCAAGTCACCTATTCCGCACCTCCCCACCAGATAGCTGGATGGAGACATTCAGGGAACATTTGATCCAGTAACAAGTTCACCCCCCCCCCCTCCCATAATGAATGGTTAAAGTGCACCTGCATTATGAAATTGGCACTTTGAAATAAGCTGGTTCAGAAAAACCGTCATTTGGAAATACATCAGTGTGAAAAGTTTAACCAAATTCATCAGGTGATAAATGCTGACCGTTACTGTAGCACTCCAGAGTGACGGTGGCAAGCACCACTGTTCACACATTAACAGGAGTCAACATGTAGAGACTGCCATTTTTAGCTGGGTGTAATAATTTTTTAGAATCAACAGTGCATCTAAATCTAATTAAACTGAAACTGCGGTAAATGAATGGCACAAATGGCCTACTTTACATTATGAAGCAAAGTCTCTCCTTCCCTTTTGGTAATGATGTTTAGTTTAATCAAACAACCTGTATTATCTTATAAAGCCTGGTAAATGATGGTTATAAAAATTAAATCCATGTAGCCTAATATTAAAATAGAACGAGTATTTCATAGTATCTCTCTTGCTATTTAAATTAATTTAACAATTCCACCTTAGTGTCATGTAAAAAGGCAAATGGAAAGCAGGAAACAATTCTTATACTTGGGGGGGGGGGAACAAACGAACCTTTAATAATCAATGAAAATGACTTGTTTTACAAGCTGATACCGTATCTGAAAATGTTTTATGAACGCCCATCCGCTTACAACGTTGAAAACCATTAAATATTAACTATGACAGTTTAAAATGTTACTCTTTACTAGCACGGTTAACACACTGCCCTGTATCGCCACAAGTTTAACTCTTAATTGCAGTCAAACGCCAGTGTTCTGACGAGTTGAGCTACCTATCGAGACGTGCTATCGAGCCTTTCGGCGCATGTGCAGTTCCACCGTCTTGGAATTAGGGTTAGGGTAAGGGTTTTAGGGGTTTTTTGGTGGGTTAGGTTTAGGTTTAAAGTTGGGGATAGGGTTACGGCTATCGATTAGCACTACGATAGCCTAACTCGACAAAGTAGCTCAACTCGACAGAACACCGGCCCGGGTAACTGCAGCGGCATCATTGAGTGATCAGTCACGAAAAATTACCTCCAAAAAATGACAAATGTAGGCGATGAAACATTATTAATGAACGTCTGAATTATATCTGCGCGGTTTAAACACCAATGTGAGTTTTAGGCGAAGGAAACGATATTAATTACCGTAAACAGCACGATTAATGTGACGTCACCAGCATTAGCCAAATATCAACATGTGTCACGAGGCAAAAAAGCGCGTGGTGAGGTGATAAAAATGAAGAGGCAGAAAGTGAGGCCATGTCTCAATTTTTCTAAAGCAAACAGGCAAGTGAAGATGACTTTTATCCCTCCCTAAGTTATAACCCCCATGTTCAGATGAGTTGCGACGTCCGTTCATCTTTACTATTAGTGCGCGCTTACCGTTTTTGACGTGGTGTTGAGCACTTGTGAAAATATTCATATAAATAACTACCGCATATTTGCCTTTTATTTAGATGTGATTATAAACGCTGAGGCAGACGGGGGCATCCAGGTTGTGCGTCTCTACACGTGTGTGAATATGCTAACTGTATTTTATCTGGGGGAAATAAGATGGAAAGATTACAGGAAAGTAGTCAAAGAAATCGTTTGTCGTTTATCTATTATGTACAACTATGTTCAATCGCATCACAGTCTATCTCTGATCCCATTACAGAGGTAGTTAAGGGCGTAACATTGCGGGGGGGGGGTTTGAGGTCTCCACCCATTACCGGGGGAACAGGATTATGGGGGTGGGGGGTTGTATTAGCTGGTTTTGATTTATTGGGGGGGCTACAACCCCCCCCCCCCCCCCGTAATTTACGGCCATGGAGGTAGTTCAGGATTTGGACAACAGAGAGAACGAACTGCTGACCTCGGCGTGACCGTCTTTTTATAACCATTAACTCAACTTATCAGACATTATAAATGTAACCTAGTTTACTTAGAAACTTGCATATACCTATATATAATTTACGAAAAGCCATGTCATATTGTGATCAGTCTTGAGGGAAATGAGCGGGCGTTTTTCCAGAGAAGCAGGAATTTAACTCCAGCTGCGCGCAGCGGATTTTGCGGCGCCGCGCACCGGCCGGACAAGCGCTTGTGCCTTAACCTGCGAAAGTGAACACAGGCGCACTCAACAGGTCTCGTTATTCCTGAAGTTTCCGACCGTGCAATGTTGTAAAAGTCTGCTGTCTTGCACGTTTTGCAGCGCAGTTCACCGGTACACTTACCTGGCAGGTGCTCAGTGAGAATGGGCTTCGCAGATATTTTAGATGAGATCGGGGGTTTCGGGCGCTTCCAGATGATTCACGTCACACTGTTATCCATTCCCGGTCTCCTTATGGCCAGCCAAAATCTACTAAACAATTTCACAGCCGGTACTCCGGGGCACCACTGCAACATACCCAACCGGACCTCTCTAGCTCTCGGACAGAACATATCAGCATCAGATCTGAGTGACCAAGAGGTGCTACAGGCGTTCATCCCGGTGGCAGAGGGGTCCGGGCTGTCAAAGTGCACCAGATACACCGAAGCGCAGTGGCACCTTGTCAA